AAGTGTAAGAAGTCATCCTGCATACTGCTATACATAATGCTTGATCATAAACCACATCAAAACCGTTGCCATCCAGTTGATGCCAACTCATGGCAACCCTGTGTGTTACAGAGTAGGACTGCTCCATATGGTTTTCTTGGCTGTAATCTTTATGGAAGTAGATTGCCAGGCCTTTCTTGTGTGGCACCACTGGGTATGTTCATACCACCCACCTTTTGGTTAGGGTTAGGGTTAGGGTTAGGGTTAGGGTTAGGGGCTGTCTTGTGCATGCACACAGGGACATGCTGTTGGGTGTGTAACCCACCCGAATGATCCCCCTTATCCTGCTTCACCTTTCTGGATTTTTTTTTCATAGTTGCTGTTGGGTGCCGTTGAGTCTATTCCAACTCACAGCAACCCCATGTAACAGAGTAGAACTTGTGCCATGAGGTTTTCTAGACTGTAATATTCATGGAAGCATATTGCCAGGCCTTTTTTCCGCAGAGCAGCTGGGCAGGTTCAAACCGCCAACCTTTCGCTTAAGTGTTGTGCTCCACCAGGCCTCCTTCTTTTTCAGTGTTTACCCCTTTAACAAGCTAGGAGCGAATGTTTTCTTATGTTTGTTGCTTGTTGTATGTTTCTCCCCCTCTGAGAATGCAGGCTCCCCAGTGCAGGGACCTTTGTTTTGGTCAGGCACCCCAAGGGTCTAAAGGAGTCCTTGACATGTAGTGTGTTCTTGATAACGATTAGCTGGCCATCTGAACAGGGCCCCCCGACACTCTTCCCCCTTCCCTTCTCTGTTTGTTCTCACTCACTGCTTCGGAGACGGCCCCTGGTTTGGAGTCTGTCATTTAGGGCTTGTCTCCCTTTTATTGTTCTCCTCCTTGTCCTGGAGCTTCTGCTCGCTGGATCGTGTCCATCCAGCATTACGCGGTGTGCTCGTCCCTGCCTAGCTGTGTATGGGAGTTTCATCCACGTGTCGTCTGGGGACTGAATTTGGTACAGTTCCCCTCCACTTTATTTTAACAGTGTGACTTTTTTTATGAAAAGGATTAGTCACTGAAGAGCTTACTAAATTTGCTTAAACACACTGGAAATTTATTTCCTTAAGTCATAAACTGGCATAAAAATATTGGGGAGGGATGGGGACCTGCCTGCTTCCCAGCAGCCCTGACCTCTTTACAGTAGCTGATTAACTAAATCGAGCTCTTGACTATATTTAAAAGCAACTGCCGGGGATGTCCCTGAGTCTGGAGACCGCAAACCCCATCTGAGGTGTTTTCCATCGGATGAAAAGCAGGAAATGGGAGAATCTGACAAGCCTTACTTCCCTGGACTAGCCTGATATTTTTTTTCTTCAAGTACATTTTGTTTCAAAATTCAGACACAGCATGTTAATAAAGGACAGAAAACCACCTGATCATCTCAATAGGTGCCAGAAAGCATTGAACAAAATTCAACACCCTTTCCTGATAGGAGTACTTAACAAACTAGGGTAGAAGGGAACTTCCTGAAGCTGATAAAGAGCCTCTGCGGAAAACCCACAGCTAACATAAGACTTAATGTGGACGACTGCGTGCTTTCCCCCTAAGTTCAGAAACAAGACAAGGATGTCTGCTCTTGCCATTTCTATTCAACATCGTACTGGAGGTTCCAGCCAGGGCAATTAAACAAGACAAAAAAAATAAAAGCATCTAGATTGGACAGGAAGAGGCAAAATTATCTCTATTCACAGATGCCATAAGCTTATATATAGAAAATCCCAAGGGACACGCACACACACAAACTAGTAGAACTAAGAAAGGAGTTCAGCAAGATTGTGTGATGCAAGATCCACATACAGAAGTCACTTGTACTTCTATACACTTAACAATCAATACACTAACAATATGAAAATGAAATTAAGAAAACAGTTCCATTTACCATAGCATCAAAGAGAAAAAGATAATTAGGAATAAATTTAACAAAAGAATTGCAAAACTTGTACACTGGAAACCACAAAATACCATTGAAAGAAATTTAAGAAGATCCACTTAAATGGGAAGATATCCTGTGTTCATGAGTTGGAATAGTTAATATCGTTAAGATGGCTGTACTCCCCAAATTGATCTACAGATTCAAAGCAGTCCCTGTCAGAATCACAGATGGCATTTTTGCAGAAAAAGGGCAAGCTCATCCTAAAATTCATACCTTATGAATGCAAATACAAGGGACCCAAAAGAGCCAAAATGATTTTGAAAAAGAACACGGAGGACTCACACTTCCTGGTTTCAAAACATACTGCAGAGCTACAGTAATCAAGACAGTGTGGTGCTGGCATTAGGATAGACATATAGATCAATGGAATAGAACTGAGAGTCCAAAAAGAAACCCTTAAACACTTATGGTCAATGGATTTTTGACAAGGGCGCTAAGACAATTCAGTGGGGAAGGGAGAGTCTTTTCAACAAATGGATCTGGGACAACTGGATACCCACAGGCAAAAGAATGAACTTGGACCCCTGCCTCACACAATGTGTGAAAAATTAGCTTAAAATAGATCATAGACCTAAATGTAAGAGCTAAAGCTATAAAACTCTTAGATGAAAACTTGGGAGTAAATCTTTATGACCTTGGGCTGGGCAGTGGTATCTTAGCTATAACACCAAAAGCACAGGCAACAACAGAAAAAAAGTTGGAGTTCATCAAAATTAAAACCTTTTGTGCTTCAAATAACAAGATCAAGAAAACGAAAAGACAGCCTGCGAAGTGGGAGGAATTTTTGCAAATCGTATGTGTGGTAAGGGACTTATATGTAGAATATACGTTTAAAAATCTCTCACAACTCAGTAATAAAAAGACAACCCAATCTTCAAATGAGCTAAAGGGTTGAAAAGACATTTCTCCAAAGAAGGTATACAAGAAGCACATTAAAAGATGCTTAACGTCATTAACCATTAGGGAAATGCAAATTAAAAACACAATGAGATACGACCTCACAGCTACCAGGATGGATATAATAAAGAAACAAGTGTGGGAAAGATCCGGAGAAAACGGAACACTTGTTCATTGGTGGGAATGTGAGATGGTACAGATAATTTGGAAAACCCGAGAGAAATTAAAACACATGTCCACACAGAGACTTGTACACGGCTGTTCATAGCAGCATTATTCATAATAGCCAAAAAGTGGAAATAGCCCAAGTGTCTGTCAGCTAATGAATAAACCAAATGTGGTATATCCATGCAATGGAATCTTATTCAACGGTAAAGAGGGATAGTGTAATGATACGTTCTACAACATGGATGAACCTTGGAAACAGCTTTCTGTGTGAAAGAAGGCGGTTACAAAAGACCTCATAGTGTATGATTCCATTTATAGGAAATGTCCAGAATAGGCAAATCTGTAGAGACCAGAAAGCAGGTTAGTGGTTGCCAATGGCTGTGGGGAGGTGGGTATGGGAAGTCATTGCTGCTGGGATCAGGTTCCTTTCTGGGGCGATGAAAATATTCTAAAGTTAGATAATGGGGATAGTTGCATAAATCTGTGAGTATCCTAAAAGCCACTGAACTGTACACATTAAAACGTTGAATTTTATGGTGTATGAATTGTATCTAAGTAAAACTGTTTAGAAAAATTCAGGCACAAGTGGGAATTAGGATTCTGGGCTCTTTTGTCTCCTTTATAAGGCTTTACTGAAACTAATTATAAAGATGAGTGTACATACAGAATAGCTTATATTCCTAAGTTTTTCTTCCTCCATTCTTTTCTTCCTTTTTTTTAAATTTTATTCCTGGAAACCAGAAATGCTTTTATGTTGCTGACATCAACTTTTTAAATTTATTCATCATTTTTGTAGGTATGGATAAGGGAGCATATGGTAACCTGAAAAGGGAAATATTCAGTTTGGGGGAGGGATTTTAATCTGTGGCTGCTACCTTTTGAAATAGCTCATGTGCCTGACCTTCTTGTATATTAAAAAAACTACCAGCGCAGGGACAACTTGGGTTTCTAATTAAAATTTCAGACCTACAGGGATCTTTCAACCCAAAAACCAAACCCGTTGCCGCCTGGTCGGTTCCGACCCATAGAGACCCCACAGGACAGAGTGGGACTGCCCCATAGGGTTTCCAAGGAGCGGCTGGTGGGTTTGACCTGCTGACCTTTTGGTGAGCAGCTAAGCTCTTACCCACTGCGCCACCAGGGCCCCACAGGAATCTTTAGTGGAGGTGAAAATGCCTTTCCCATGAGACCTTAGGGCCAGATTTGTTTAGCAGGAAAAACGTTTTATTTTTGCTCTTCTCCTTAAAGAAAATCTCACCCGTAATTCTTTTTAAAATCATCTTTTCCATTTTCCAAGATCTAAAAACCTTTTATAAAAACCGCATGTTGTCAGTATGTGTTAAATCTACTGATAATTTGTCTGGTCAGCATATACATGTGTATTTTAAAAAGTTGCTGTCAAGTGGAGTTGATCTCAACTCATGACGACCCCATGTGTTTCAGAGTTGCACTGCAGCCCGTGGGGTTTTCCGTGGCTGTGATCTTTCAGAAGTAGGTTGCCAGGCCTTTCTTCTGAGGTGCCTCAGGGTGGATTCAAACCGCCAACCTTTCAGGTAGTGTAGCCAGGTGCTTAACCGTTTATGCCACCCAGGGACTCCCTATGTATGCGTGTTGCATATCAAGTTACTGTGCGGTCATGGTCTCTGTTCTGCATTCTACCTTGGAAAATTAAAAATGCATATATTGCCATTCCTCTTGTGATGTTGATTTAGAAGGAAAGGTTGCAGTCCATGTGGAAACCTCCTTCCCCGTCTTACCTGGCAGCCTCGGCTTTGCGAGATGTTTCCACACGAGTGGTACCACGCCTTCTACAAAGAGGTGTGCTGTGGAACGTTGCTCTGAATGCCGCGGGTCTTTGCCAGAAGCCTGTTGCCAAGGATTGTGTTATGGTTTAGGATCCAAGCCTGGGGATGGGCAGGTCTCTTGTGAAAACGGTTTCTTTTCCCGTCCTGCTGACCTCCGGCCTTTGCTGCTTGCAGGAAGATCTGCCTGCACTGCAAGTGTCCACAGGAGGAGCACATGGTGACGGTGATGCCGCTGGAGATGGAGAAGACCGTCAGCAAACTCATGTTTGACTTCCAGAGGAACTCGACGTCGGATGATGACTCGGGCTGCGCCTTAGAGGAGTACGCCTGGGTCCCGCCGGGCCTGAAGCCTGAACAGGTACCGCTCTTGCTGTGGGGGTCATGTGGTTTGGGCTTTCACCTCCGTCTTGCCCATCCTTCCTCATTTCAGTACAGAAGGAAGGGTGGCCTTTGCGGATTCAGAGAGTGGTGGGGGCTGAATGGGTGGAATATGTTGAGAGCCCCAGTGGGAAATGGGGCAGAGAAATAAAGCGGAGTGTTGAGTGGTCCATTGCTAATTCATTCTGAGTTACCGTTATTAACCATTAACAGAGGACTGCCTAGAAAGTTCTCGGAAACTTTGCCTTTGAAACATTGAACACAAAGCTTTATATATGGGAGTAGGGGGAGCTCCACTTTGGCCGTGGATGTTAACGTGATGATTCTTTGAAAAGGAGAGCGAGGAAGTGTGGGTTTGCTTTATTCTTCCCGTGATATATGCTGTGTTTACATACGAAGCTTGATCTTTACAAAGAAAGACGTTGGCATTTCCTGAAATATTCTGGCACTACCCGGAGGCTGTAAATATTATTGGCTCGATTAGAAGAACTTGATTCCTTTCTGTTTCCCTGCATTTTTATCAGTGATATACAGCCTCTGCTTTGCATTTCTTGATACTTGGAATTTTTTCTTCCACCAGCTTCTTTTAAACACTGGCTTAGAAGCAGCTTTTGTAAAACTGGATACTTTTATAATCTTCCCCATGAATCTTTGAGAGACAGCAGAATCTTAAGTTTGACCCACGATTGCTTTTCTCTGACACGTAAAATTTATTTCTCTGGAGGTCTCTTCTCTATCTGGCAGAATGTTTTGAAGCTTAAACAGCCGTGACATTTTAAGTCAGGAACTTTAGGTGTGATAATGCTATCAGAAAAAAGCTCTTTATAATTAAGGAAGATCCAAGAATTCACCAATGACTTAAGAGCAATAACCCTGATATCATCCCTTTGATTAGCTGTTCCTCATTTTCTTCTTCCAATATGGAGGTTGCAAGTTGGCAGATGAAATAGGGCACACTGGTTGGATTTGTTTAGCCAGCAAAGTATTTTTTAAAAATCTGAATTTTCTGGTATTTAAAAATTAGGCATTTTTATTTTAAAAAATTTGTATTTTTAACTTGAAAATTTGAGGATCTGACAGCTCTGGAATCTCACCTCAGTCCCTGCTGTCTCAGCAAGTCGCCTCAGTCCCTACTGTGTCTTCTTCATCCATTTGTGTTGCCTTCCTAAACCCTACAGGCATGTCAGATTTGCAATCCCGGTTCTAATTCTTCCTGTGTAGAAAATACCTTAAAATAGAAACATTCGCAGAAAGTTCACCATGAGAATTGAGGGCAGAGTTCAGTGTTGAGATGTTATGTTAGGATATTAGCAGGAAGATCTAAGAATACTTTGTCCCAGTTTGTAGGTTGCGGTTATATTTTTCTTTTCTCCAGTTTCAGTAAAGACTGTGTTATTAAAGAATTCGTTTAAGAAAAATGAGAGTATTTGATTGAATTTTTCTGGAAACTCAAGTGAGGTGATGATGTCCTTGTTCAACATTGCCGTGCTAAACCAGTGCTTGAACAGAGAGTTATTCACACCTAGACACATCTGTGCGCTTGTTTCATTTTCTTGCCTCATTTCCAGCAACGTCTGAGAAACCCATCTTTCTTTTGTTCACCTGAAGGCTGTTGCTTCCAGAATTCGGGATGTTGGGCCTTGAATTCTCCAAGTTAAGCTGTTTGCAGATCTCTGCGTATGTAGTTTCTTCTCTAAGACCATTAAATACCCTTCCATAATGTTCAGATTTAAAGCAAATGTTTTAGTCACATTGGCCCAAGAGAACAGATAATTGCAGAAGCTAAGAGTCTTGATTAAATTTACCAAACCCAAAAGTGAGTGCTTATGGTAATTTGGGGGACCCCTGGGTGTTGCAAACAGTTAATCACTTGGCTGCTAACTGAAAGATTGGAGAATTGAGTCCACCCAGAGGCACCTTAGAAGAAAGTCCTGGCGACATGCTTCCAAAAATCAGCCATTGACAACCCTATGGAGCACAGTCTACTCTGATACACATGGGGTAGCCATGAGTCAGAATCAACTCGATGGTGACTGATGTTGTTTCCATTCACAGTGAATGTCTTTGGGAAATATAAAACTGAACTGTCTTTGACTGGTTTTGAGAGAAAACGACATGATATTAAGCAAGTGGCTTGAACTATGCTGAATGAAAAGGTTTTCCTAGCTCCTGTAGTTCTGTTGTTTTTTCAGAAGGATCATTCTCCCTATTCCTCACCCTTACTCAAACCTACATGACTCAGAGGATTAGGAAGGACAATTGCCCTACAGAGAGAGACTATCTCTGGAAGCTACATTAAGAGCTCTATACGTGCCTCGGAAAACATAAGTTTATTCTAAAGGTGTTGGAAGGCATCATTGTGCATAAAAGAAATGGGCTTCAGTTTTTAAAATTATACGTTCTCTTAGAAGTCTGTTACTCAGGGCACTGGTTATGTTGTTGTTGTTAGGTGCCATCGAGTCGGTTCTGACTCATAGTGACCCTGTGTAGGACAGAATGGAAACACCGCCCGGTCCTGCGACTCAGCTGTGTTTGAGCCCGTTGTTGCAGCCCCTGTGTCAGTCCATCTCCGTGAAGGTCTTCCTCTGTTTGCTGACCTAAAAGCTGTCTAATAGTAGTCTAAGACTGGAAAAATTCAAGTTTCTAAATGCTTTTCACTAATAAAAATTCAGAAGTTTAACATCATGTTAGTTGTCTCTGACTTGAGGAGAACTCATTTTCCCATCAAGAGAAATTATAGTGAACTATTAAAATGCTTTGTGCTAGAGGGAAAATATTAAAGACTGGTTCGGGCTGAAAGGTTTCGTTTTTATTAGGAACCTTTCATTTCACTCTCTGCTGGTGGGGCTGGTAATATGCCTTCAGGTGACACTCTGTATTATTCACTTTCTTCTGAGGAATGCTTTCGATTAAATATCACACAAACAAAGGCGACCTCCCATCTAGGGAAGTGTTCTTGAAAACGGGCATTTAGTTTCACAAGAATCCACTAGCTGCAAAGCCCAACTTTTCAAAAGCGGTGTGAAAAATGATGACCATATGCTGCCAGAAAGGGAAGACATCTGCCTTGTGTTTTCTGACAGGTGGACTGAAAGCTAATCAGAAAAGTTGTTCAGGTCCTTCACCTCTGCTCACTCCAGATGTGGTGTTTGAGGCCATCCAGAGAGCCCAGCAGCAGCAGAGAACTGGGTTCTCCCCTAACTCACTGTCTCAATCATCTGCAAGTCTGCGGTTTCAATCCAGCATCCAGCCGTTAGTAGTGTGTGCCCTGTCTCCTAGAGATATCGTGGTGATAAATTTACAGTAGCCAATGCTTCAGGAAGAATTTGGAAAATATGTAACAAACTATAAAAAAGAAAAAAAGGCAAATGGTAGCAGCATTTATCAGCCTTGACACACCTGACATTCTGGGATGGATAATTCTCTGTCGTAGGGGCTGTCTTGTGCATTGTAGGATGTTGAGCAGCATCCCTGGCCTCTACTCCCTACAACCGAAAATGCCTGCAGACATTGTAAGATGCCCCTGGCAGAGGAGGGGGGGGCACCCCAGTTAAGAACCACTGGGTGAATGTGACGTTATTTCCCTCCAACCTAGAGGATCTGTCAGCAAGATTTTGACCCAGTCAAGACAAGAAGAGGAGCCCTGGTGGCGCCGTGGTGAAGCGCTCAGCTGCTAACCAAAATGTCGGTGGTGCTAACACACCAGTGGTTCTGCAGGAGAAAAGACGCGATGATCTGCTCCCGGAGAAAAGACGCGATGATCTGCTCC